AATGATGGAAGACGTTTTGGAAAAAGTTCAAAAATAAGGTGACAATAATGAAATTACTCCGCTTGTAAAAGTAATTGCTGTATGGGAAGAAGTTTTATTTTCACTTCTACTTGGAATGATGATTCATCGAAGACATCAAAAAAGAGAGAAATATAGAAAAAATATTCTTTTCATTTTCTCGCATGGGGTATGTCACATAAGAAAAAGCACTAAATGGTAGAGCTCTAATAACAAGACTGAGTAAACATATGTAGATACGATATAGATTTGCCACGTTGTACACGTTTCTCTTTTCTTGCTTTCTGCATCAGCAGTGAACTTGTTTCCTTGCCTGTTAAAAAAAACTAAATCGCATAGGCAAAAATTAGGCGGTGTACAGGCTTTTTTCCATGTGTATTTACTTCATCAGACCTTCACGACAAGTGACATTAAAATTATATACTTAAGAGACGATTTGAGAGTATATCAAGCATATGTTAAAAACTAAATAATATGAGCAAGGTTTATTTTTCCATTTAACTATGCCTACCCAGGTCAATGAATCCTATGTAGGATCCTACAAATGATAGGATATCATAGGATTTCTATAGGAATCTTATGAAGTTCCTATAAAAACCCTATCATAAGATCTTATATGAATCTTACCATAGGATCGCTACGAAAATCCTACTAGGGATTCTTATTGTAGGATTCCTATAAAATTCTATGAAATCCTACGATAGGATTTCATAAGATTCTTTATTTTTCTCTGTTCTGTCGTCTTTTCTATTCATCGTTTTGTTTGTCAGAGAAACAGTTATAAATACGACGCTGAAAAAAATAAAAAGTTCAGTTGAATAAGCTCAAGTTTTCGCATTGAACGGTGTGAACATCAACATGGAAGCTCACTGTTCTTGGGTTCATCCCAGTCCTGATTCAGAGACTGGGAAAGAACCCAAAAGAGAAAAAGTAAATAAATAAAGCTAGCAGTAAATAAACAGCTGATTTAAGACTAAATATTTTGGTTTCAAATATTCCAGGATTTCTATGAAATCCTACGTAAGATCCTTGCGTAGGATCTGATTGGATCCTACGACAGAAAAGTATAGGATAAATCCAAGACAAAGAAGTCTTACATCTTTCCTACAAGGTCCTATGTGAATTTGATTGAATCCTACGTAGGATCTTGTAAGAATCTTGTAGGATCCTATGGTAGGATTGTTTGACCTGGGTATTTGATTCTCCATTTAAATGTATCCTTAAATCCAAACTTTTACATCTTGAAAAGGTTTGGTTAACGAGTTGTAATTTTTTTCAAAAAAAGGCGTCGAAACGCGGAGGAACTTATTGTAAAAAAATTCATATTCCACTCATTTTGATATTACAAGGCCAAAAAATATGAATTTAGCTGTAACTTTATATGCTCTATAAATGAGATCAGAAAAAATGTAGATTAATTTTCCCCACAGCTGTTTTGATCTGAAAGAATTCAATTCATATGTGCAACGGTATACATAAAAGTAATTCTCTTTCGATAAGTAACTTAATAAATATTTCAACTATCGGGGTATCTACCCGCAAATTTTCTAACAATTACTTTTTCTTTTTCGTTCTATTCTGTCACTTCCGTGGACTTTTTTTATTACCTTCAGACTCATATCAAAATATAAAAAATTATCACCATTGCATATGCAGAGTATATAAATTTTTATTTATTTTGAGTTTCAAAATAAGAGCATTAATAATTACTTGTAGTTTCTATCATTTAATAATATATTCTTTTGTTAGAGAATATAAATGAATAACGGTAATTTCAATGTATTATTCATAAATGAGTCATTATTCGTTGATGAAACAGAAAAACTGTCATGTGAAGAAAGTAGTTTGGATGGTAAATAGTTATTTTTAACTTTTTTTCTAAAATTTAATGTCTTTGTTTCGCTCTCAGACAGCATTTTACTTAAGACAACCGATGAGAATCAATCATTATTGTTTAATTACTATGTTTAACTTTAGTTATACAAACAAGTACTCAACACAACGTTGAATCAATTGCTCTTGAAAATAGTTTAACTTTGGTAACAGATGAAGTGTTCACAGGTATTATATTCACGTGTTTCTTTTTAAAAACTAATTTTCTCATTTATTTTTATATTTTTATCATCAGCATCATCACAATCAACCAATAGTACAGGTAAGAAGATGAAAATGATATTGCTTTTCTAGTTATCATTCTTTATCTTTGACATCAAGTGGCACTTACGACGAACAATCAATACTCAGATAATGATCAGGGTAAGAACAGTCGACTTTCTTTTTGTTTGTCATATGAGTATTGTCAATTTTTTCATATTACTAGAAAATGCAACGAACTCTTCCAGTAGTCATTCAATTTCGTTTCTATCAAACATAACTGGTAAGTGAGAAAGGTACAAAAAAATAAAAATAAACATGAACATTTAGGGTACACACGGTTTCATTTGAATTTTTAATAGCTGCTGGTTTTCGAAATGCAGTGATTGAATTACAAGCTAATTATGGTAATACAATCTTGTTAGATGGAGACAAAATCTCTAGGCCTCCGCCAATTGAGGACAGAATACCAAGTAGGTGATGATAATAATCTTTCGGTTTCAGGTAAAATACTTCATAATTGCATAAACCAACGTTTGAGTGCTTTCAGAGATGAGAGACTTGGCTTTGGAGCGACCTTACATTTTAAAATCATTTAGAAATAAAAGAATTTTAGATCGGAATTCGTTAGCAGAGAGGAGTGAAAAATAGTAGTTGAATATAATTATTATCCATTTCAAAATACAATGTCATCGGTCGTTTTAAATAACTTTCGAACAAAAAGGAGTAAGAGAGTTCAGATTTTCACCTTTTTGTGGGAAAGTCTTTGCCCTGTCTTATGATCTATGAGAGCGTGAAAACCTCGTGTTTTCAGACGGTATACCTGACAAGTGAAAAAAGAAGAGGTTACCGGGTACCGAAGCTATAATAACTTTTTCACTCAAAGCACATAGTTGAATAGCTCAAAGTATCCTCTACAAAACTGCGCAACTCCGAGGTTGCTACCTATCAGCCTTTTGGATTTACGGCAATTTTGCTAGGACGTACGTATCTAAGTCCGATTAGGTCTAACAACCTTAGAGCCATCTTCAAATATAAGTTTATTATCTATGTCAAATCTCATGGCAAAGTTAGTTTTCAAAATAAAATGGAGGAACCGAGTAAACACCTAAACTAGGTGAAATAATCCATTTTGACTATTTTCGTCAAAAATTAACATATACTCTATGTTATGTGTAGTGTGCTGTATGCTCAGTAAATGTTTTAAAAACTAACAGCAAAACACTTAGGTTTTTGAAAGGCTTTCCAGAAACCTTCGGAACCAAGAGAATGTTTTTAGTGACCTTAAGTACAAAATCACACTGAGTGGATAAAGTGTAATCTCGTATTTTTTCACATGTCACGTATACCACCTGAAAATCCGAAGGTTTCAAGCTCCTAAAGACCATAAAATAGAGCAAAAACTTTCTTACAAAAAGTGAAAATCCGAACTCTCTAGCTCTTTTCGTTCGAAAGTTATTCGAAAAACAACTGTGTTGGCATTCTATTTTGAAATGGATAATAGTCAGAAACGGTAGTCTCACACGAAAGTCGGTGAAACACTTCGATAGTAGGAAATTACTCAATTGTCGTTCGCATATGTGTCGGTTAATCTAATAATTGTGTTTATTTAAGTTATTAATCGACCAATGAGAGCAAAAGAACTAAATCTAATATCAACCTGGATAAATGGTACAAATAATCGATGGTCTATATTAGCTAAATATTTAAATTTAGAACAAACACAAATAAATGATGTTGGAAATTTTATTCAAGATCGGAAATTGCAGTCAAAACCACAAGCACAAATTAAACAACTGTTACGTGTTTGGTGGCAACTACCAGACGGAAAAGCAAATGCACTTGATTTATTTTATGCACTCTTGAAATTGAATGAGAAAACAGCCGCCAGACGATTAAGAGATGAGATGATTGAACATCCAGATCCAAATATTATTGATGAAGTGGATAATGATTCCTCGTGGGATTGAAATTTTTTTCTAATACAAGTGTTTCCCTTGCAGGTAGGAGAGTGAAAATTCCAGTTTGAGTACTTTTGAACTGAAACACGAGATCTCTCTCTGGTAGACACTTTTTGTTCAAAAGAATTAGAAATGGTATAATGTATTTTTGCGTTTATTTTCAATAAATTGATTTGAAAAGTAAATGAAATGAACTCTCTTTTGCGGTGAAAATTGTCTTTTTCTTAATTTTTTGGTGCGAAATTATTGTCCCAAAAGGATTTCCTTTAATTTGTCATGTTTATAATTATGATTCTATTAAAATTATCTTTAGAAAATTTGGATATTTTTTAGTTTTTTTCTTCTTATTCTTTAACTAGACTAAGAACAATAAGTGTAACGGTGATAATTTCTTTGAACTGGAACCAGTTAACAGTTCCCATTCACTGATACGGGAATGGGTCACCAGCTCTTTACAAATATGAAAACTAAAATTGTTACATTCTACTTTTTGATGGAAAACAATCTATTGCTACTATAGTATGATCTAGTAGTAATATCTTTTTAGATTTTTGATAATGTGTTATATAAATAAACGATTCTTAACTTTTCGTCAAAAAATCATCGATTGTTTGTCTCAAGATGAACGAATATTGGCTATTGAACTGACGAATTTTACTTATGAACATTCAAAATATCGAACGCTTTTTCAACAGGAACACATCGAACGTGTTGCCAATAACACTATGTCACCAGCAAGCGAATTTATAATATGTTTGGATGAATTAAAATCACTTGAACCAGATATGATTTACAATTCAAACGATATTCACACAACATTTTTGTATGATTTTTTATTTGCATCTTCATTGTTTTCAAAATTTGACATATTCGTATTACTCAAGATATATTACGGCGATACATTTCCGAAAGCATATGATTATTTGGCACAGGGAACAAAACCAGGTATGCACGAAGATCATCTTTACCCGAAAATATTCTATTGGATATATAAAAATCCTTCCTGAACTAAGAAAGAATGAGGCGAAACTTTTTTGTGAAATTTTTTCTCCAATAGTTGTCCTCCTTAGGAATGTCTTGTTATGTTATGCTTTATATCAGATGAATGAATGAGCTCCAAAGTCCCGTGTCCTGTAGCACAACTAACAAAAAACTAACTAAGTGCCAGTGAATGGTATAAAAGCTCCCTGGACATACAAGATCACTAATCCTCTCACAGTATATTATCACGAAAAAAAGTATATATAAAAAAGCACTCTACATCACACAAAGTATCGCAAAAAAATAATCGAAAAAAAAAATTCAAACGAAATGGGTTTTTTCACAGTAAAATCAGGACGGAAGAAAAGGAAGAATTAAATCGTAACAAAGAAAGAAAAGAGAAAATAGTGAACATAACTGTGTATGTACATGCTTATACTGAAGAATGAATAACGGGTGGGCCAGATAAAACCGGCCACTTTTGTGCGTTGTTTTTGAGGTACTGTCCAATAGTTCTAAGGATTCTTTTTAAAGTCAATCGATAGAGAATTGAATTCTCTACAAAACCTAGAATTTTAATCTCTGATAGCGTTTTTCCCGTTTGAGCACCATTCAATATTTCGCATGGTGCTGAGTTGTCGAACTGCGACCCGCCTGTCGACGTCTTCTTCTCTGAGATTTTTATCCCATTGTCTGAGGTTCAATAGTTAATTTTCTAGGTAGAAAGATAGAGAATTTTGTGCTCTATCGATCTCACTGATATACAACTTCATACAATATTTTCGCTACGTTAACTGGAGTCAAAATTAGTTCTTCACCGGCTTTTCAATTTTTACAAATTAAATTAATTGTTTTAATTAATGATTTGAACTGAGAAACTTTCTTTATATATCAAAAATGCAGAATTTAATTCTGTGTAAGATGGTAAGACTAAAATCCTGGATTTAAAACGTTTTACTGCTTTTCTAGCCAAAAAACTAAAGTCTGTGAGAATAGGTTCAGAAGTTAGACTTTTTTGAATTTATCAGGTTCTTGCACAGCGAAATTTTCTAGAAAAGTGAGCTGCAAAAATTTCGAAAAATACGTGAGAACATGCAGAATTTTCTTGTGAATCGTCTGATGTTTTCAAAATTCTTATGGAATCTGTTTTTGGATCAAGGCAAATATTTTTCTATTTTCAATGTGTCGCAGTTCGACAACTCAGCACCATGCGAAATATTGAATGGTGCTCAAACGGGAAAAACGCTATCAGAGATTAAAATTCTAGGTTTTGTAGAGAATTCAATTCTCTATCGATTGACTTTAAAAAGAATCCTTAGAACTATTGGACGGTACCTCAAAAACAACGCACAAAAGTGGCCGGTTTTATCTGGCCCACCCATTAGTATGGATAGCCTGGGCGTGAAGAAGAAAGAACTAAACAAGTGAAACAGTACAAAATGCCTCCCAGGCATAACACGTTTCAGTAAGTTGCTTTCACTCAATTATATCAGAAAATTTTAGCTTTAGCCCCAGGAAAGGGTGTTTTAACAAGATTTTTGTTTAGAACTAACATTTGCAATTAATTATTTGTGCAAAGATTTAAAAGATCGTCCACAAAATTTACGATTTTTCAGTCACTTTATCAGTATCACTGCATTTAATGCTATAAATCCAACTGATAATATTCATCCACTTGATGATATAACATCGAAAATATGGCGAGAATTATTTCAAAAAATTCGAGTTACATTTATTGCACGAGAAAAACGTGATTTAACTGTTCAAGATTTGCTTAAAGCCTTAAATGGAAGTGGTTTAGCTAGAATGGGAGAAAATTTAAAGGTAATTCAAAAGTAAGATGCATTAGTTATCTGCTCTAATAATTCATTGGTTTTTATTCTAGAGAAAATTAATGGTACAAGGTTATACCCTATAAACGTTATTTTGTTTGTAATTTATTATTAATTCCAGCAAATAAGACAGATGCCATGAACTTTGGTAACTAAAGTTCATTGTTATATATGGACTTTTTATTGTCATCTTCAAAAAGTAGTTTTATCCTAAAAAAAACCCTTTTTTTATAAATATAGTAGCATAATTTGATTAGAATATGAACCTGAAAAAATATAAACCACTACTTTATGGATCTGAAATTTTGTAGAAGCTAGACCTGCAGTAGTTTAGTCTAAAATGCTCACGTGTTCCATTTACGAGAGGCATAGAAAGGAGAAAAACAGATCGTGTTTACAAGAATGATAGAATAGAGCTTACAAACCCGGACTTACAGAAGAACTTACAAATTTTGTGTGGCAAAATTCTTTATAACATACTCATGCATAGGAGAAAAGCTTCAAGCCCAAATGAAGGCACAGTAAAGTCGGACATATACACGAATTAGCCGACTTTTTCCTTTCTCGCAGTTTCGATCAAGATTGCACATGTAAGCGTCAAATTTTAAGACTTAGTTTCGTATAGATTGGATAGAACAGACACTCGTGTGTATTAGTCTACTTTTGAGAGTGACAAAATAGTGTTTTCATATTATGTTACAGTGAAGTCTACAAAATGTATGCTACGACTCACTAACAGTAAAATGCGCTTTTCTTACAAAAATCGAAAACGAGCGCCTTTCGATCACCGACATAACAAAAGTATGCATCAATCAACATCTACCTCTGGATGAACTCCCAGTAAATCAAAGTTGCTGCATATAATTTATTAATTGCCTATTTGCACAATATATATGGATTATGAGACGTATTGTAAATGTCCTGTATATTTGTATAACATTTTCAGCAATATTACCAGGTATAAAAAGAGCTATTTTATCTAACCGGTTGCGTTTAAACACAAATTGTAAACAATCATTTTGCTGATCAAAATGAATATAATGATTTGCAAATAACTGATCTAATTGTGCATAATTCTGATTAAAATTATAAAAACACTTATATAGTTAGGATTAATTATAATGCTTTCAGCCATTTTGAACACTATCAAAAAAATCTGTCATTTGTAAAAAGAATTGTTTACAGTGAACAGTGAGATATGAAAACAACACTGTTCCACCTAAGAAAGTGTATCAACAACATGGTTCATCACAGAGAGTACTTGCTTCCTAAAAATACTAGAAAACGTTATTTTATTTTTACGCTTTTACACACTCAGTGTGCCCAATTTTAACAAAAATCGCAGCAAAAAAAGTTGATGTCGCATCGTCTATTTCAAACAAGGAGGAGAAAAATGCATCAATTTTTAAGAATCTGATTCTAATAAAAATGGACCTCGAGGTTATAGGCCTCATTACGGTCCATAAATTTTCTGTGGCAGTTCTTGTCAAAATTTTATAATTAATAGGCCAGAAAATCTGAATCTGACAGACATTGGCTTAAGATTGTTAAATTGTGTTGATTTAACTATAGATGGGCTTCTTCCATATTTATTCAAAGTTGGACTTTTCCAACAAAAAATATTTCTTGTCAGGCGCTAACACAAGGATGAAATAAGCATGGACTCAGAGTTGATTTAATGGTATCAAAGTAGTACTTCAGTCTGTGGAAATATATAAAGTGTTTGTAGTTAAGCTTTGAAAGATCTTACATCTGCACTAGTTGCGGTTCTTCACTTCGAAAGTCCAACCATTCGAACTTCTTGATTGAAAAATTGTATAAAAAAGATATAGAATAAATTAACAATAAAAAGTAACCCCATTATCAAAACTAGCTCAGAAGATTAGATTCCGTCAAACAGTGTTGTCCCTAAAGTGGTTTGTAAAAACGAAAAGATCGGGAAAAAGGCTATAAAAACAGGCTAAAATTTGTGAGTGCACGAAATAAAACAAATATATACACAGTATTTTGTTAAATCCTTTCTATTCGCAATGACGTTTCAGAAATTTAGCCACATCACCTGCAAAGTGACGACAATCTCTGATTCCCAATGTGTAACAGCCCCAATTTTTAATAACAACTTTGATATGCATCTTCAATGTACGCCAAGTTAACTCTTCTTCCAATGTAAAAATCTAAAGAAAACAAGACATGTAATAGGCATTCACGACAGTTTAAAATACACATTACGTCATAATCACCAGGCTTCCACATCGTTTTTTCAACACGAATAAAAAGCTTTTCCAGGAATGCCAAGGAGATGACACTTAAAGTTCTTTCCATTTTCTGTCCTGAAAACAACCATCCATGTGACATGCCTGATGTGAGAGCATAGAAACTGGAGATAACATCAGAATCATCAATGTTACGAAGTCAAAGTCGGATAGTTCGGTGCCATTCAATGCGACATTGACTTAAGACCCACACTCAAAAAAAAGGTTATTTTGGTGAAATTTATCGATTTTTTTTAAATAGCGTATTTGATAGAGCATCAAGTCCGCTATCGAATGTACTATAGTTTCTTAATTTTACGATAGATTTTAAGGGTTTCGCTCTACAGGAAAAGACGACATTTTTTCGTTATTTTGCGTTTTTCTCAAAATGAGATTTTTTACTTTTACGTTTTCGTACATCCCAGATTTCTCCGCCATTTTGAAAGCTAAAAAGCTCGGGTTTGTTTTAAATCATAGCTAAAGTCTGATATTACAACTTAACAGAGCCCGATTCTTCGATTTCAGAATTGACGTCAGATGAAGAGAAAATGTTTGAGATTCTACACCCCAGTAATTTCGTATCATGATGTGAAAGTTCTATAAAAAAGGAACTACAGAGAAATTAAAAAGTCGACCTCTGTTAAGTTGTAGCCCTACATCTTAGCTACATTTTAAAATCAACCTGAGCTCTCTAACGTTAAAAATGGCAGAGAAATCTGGGACGGACGAAGATCCATTTTTGGACCTTAATTGTGAGCTAGCTCTTGACAGGCTTAATATTTCGAGCTGAAATTTTTACTGTGAGGTCATCATACCTAGATACACCATCTCTGAAAGTTTCATTAAGATCGGATGCTCGTAAGCAGACATGGATTTTTGGGTGCGGGGTGGGCCTGAATAGCCGCTACAACTAACTACAAGAAAATAATGATTAGGGAAAATGAATTGGAATGAATTTATATTCTGTTACACTTACAAGTAGCAAGGATTTCACTGGTTTGTAATGTTCTAGCAGTGTCAGCTGAGCGAGACATTATTAAATAACTAATGGTGTCACCATAGGCTTAATCGGATATTACGTTTTTGAACCCTATATCATTTTTTTGTAAGCATTTTAGAGTCCAGTTTTCATCCAGTCACATTAGGACCCCCGAAAACAGGGTCCAATCGAGCTCAAAATTTCACCACAGATACTTTGGACAAGAAATGAAAAGAGAACGGAATTTGCATAGAATGGAGAACGGTTTGATAATTACGTCAAAATTTGTAATTAAAAGAGAACGGAATAAAAAAAATCGAAAAGAGCACGGTTTTTTCGTTGAAA